CCCGAAATTTTCGCCACCCCTGGGAGCAAGAGCCCCGAATGGATTCGCGAGATCATTCGATCTGTCCGTCCGGAAAGAAATGGAAAAGATGTACGGAACAAGGCAAATCGATGTTGGTTCTATCACCAGTGTCATTCGCGACGAGGTCCAGCAGGTGCTGCACGCCATCGTTTTCCCGCCCACGTCGGTTGATCCGGAAACGGCTCCTCTGTCTACTGACAGTCGCCGTCGTACGTACGCGGAAGCCTTGCGATCTGCCACCCTCCTTTCGGGTCAAGGAGGTCCCGATCCAGCCAGTGCCGCACGTCCCGATCCAGACAGTGCCGCACGTCCCGATCCAGCCTATGCCATACGTCCCGATCCAGACAATGATGCCGTCAGTCGCGATTCAGTCAGCGCACTCTGATTTGGACATCGATAGTCGCCGTACACCGACGCGCAAGTCTGATCTCTGGCGTACGCCAGACAGACGACCCCTCTGCTATCATTGCGGTGAGGCTGGTCACATTTACCGCGAATGCCCATACCGGCAACTTGGACTGCGCGGATTTTCCGTCAATTCCCCTCGTCCCCGAATTGGTCAACGGCCAAGGGATATCGAAGAATATCTCGCGCAACAGCGTGCACCCTTTACACGACGGCAATCGCGGTCACCATCTCCGAGGAGACCCGCAGCCACTGGGCCACGTTTTGGGGTGACGGCACGGGACGCTCCCCGAGCCCTCGTCGGGAAAACTGAAGGCAGCGGCCTCGGGGGCAAGGTCGCTGGGACTCAAAGTGCGGAAGACCTCCCATCGATGCTTGCACGCAACGCCGAAGGCATTTCGTCAGAGAATAATCGCAGTGCCGAAGAAACGCCGATATCCGCATCTGAACTAGTGACCGCGGTGTCGCTCGACATACCTGTGCTGGTTGACGGTCTTTCAGGTCAGTGCATTGGTAGACACTGGTGCAGACTATTCGATCATCAGCGGGAGGCTAGCGAAGATCTCAGGAAAGTGATCTCGCCGTGGAGTGGAACGCGAATTCGAACAGCTGGAGGACACGTTGTAACACCGCTGGGTCGCTGTACCGCAAGAGTGAAATTCGTGCGTCAACGTTTGTTCTCAGCTGCCTCGTTCTTCCCGACTGTTCGCGTCAGCTGATTATCGGCATGGACTTCCTTCGGGAATATGGTGCCATCATAAATCTCCGTGAGCGCATCGTGACCTTCTCGACTCAAGGCGCAACAGATCGAGACGCTGATAACTGCCGTAGACTTGCGCTGCGTTTTGCTGACGACAGTGTGACGCTGCCACTCGAGCAACTGTTCCCATCGAAGTCACTTGTGAAGACTTCCAAGAAGGCGACGTGGTGGCTGAAAGCAACTTATCACTTCTGCTGCTCCACAGGTGTATGCGCCGCCCGAAGTGTTGTGCGCGTCCGTGACGGACAGTCACGATACTAGCTACGAACTTCAATTACGAGCACCGGCATCTTTTCCGTGGAACCACCCTAGCTTATGGAGAAACCTGTTGCCGACGTCACGGAGTGCTTCGCGTCCGAGGAAACGCATGAGGGATAAGGGAATTTCTAGAACCACATCGACATTAATTCGACGCTGTCAGACGAGAGAAAGGCTGCACTTCACGACCTTTTAAGGGAGTTAGATCTTGCTTCGCCTTCTTCTAAAGTCCGTCAAACACACCTCACGAAGCATCGAATTATTACCGACGAGGACGTTCGCCCCATCCGGCAGCAGCCTTATCGCGTTTCTGCCGAAGAACGCGAGGCTATTCAGACACAAGAGGTAAAAGAGATGCTCGATGACGGGATTATTCAACCATCCAGCAGCGCTTGGTCCTCGCCAGTCGTTCTAGTAAAGAAAAAAGACGGAACGCCTGCGATTCTGTATTGACTACAGGAAGCTTAATAGCGTCAAAAAAAAAGGACGTCTACCCGCTTCCACGGGTAGACGATTCCCCGACAGGTTACGACGTGCGAAGTATTTTTCGTCCATCGATCTAAAGAGTGGCTATTGGCAAATTGAAGTGGATGAACGAGACCGAGAAAAAAACCGCGTTTGTGACTCCAGACGGACCTTACGAATTCCGAGTTCTTCCCTTCGGCCTCTGTTCTGCACCAGCCACTTTTCAGACGATGATGGACACAGTTCTCGCTGGCTTGAAGTGGCAAAGCTGCCTTGTCTACCTCGATGATGTGGTCATTTTTCCGAAGAGCTTTGAAGAACATCTGAAGCGTCTGAGAAAGGTTCTGGAAGCCATTCGCACAGCTGAACTTACGCTGAAACCCCAAAAATGCCATTTCGGCTATGAAGAGCTGAAATTTCTGGGACATGTCATTAGTGCAGATGGAGTGCGACCTGATCCAGACAAAACTGCTGCTGTCGCCGCCTTCCCTGTCCCATCAGATAAAAGAGCAGTACGCCGTTTCCTCGGCTTGTGCGCGTATTATCGCCGATTTATCGCCAACTTCTCTAAGATAGCTGAACGTCTTACGCGACTCACCCGAGATGACGTACCCTTTACTTGGGGCGCAGAACAAGATACAGCGTTCACAGAGTTACGACAGAGAATGCAAACAGCCCCTGTTCTTGCCCATTTTGATGAGGACGCTGCTATAGAAATTCATACAGATGCCAGCAACGTCGGACTTGGCGCTGTCCTTGTACAACGACACGGCGGCGTTGAGCATGTGATAGCTTACGCCAGTCGTACTCTTTCTCGAGCTGAGACCAACTATTCTACGTCAGAAAAAGAATGCCTCGCAGTCGTGTGGGCGACGACCAAATTTCGGCCTTACCTCTACGGTCGTCCCTTCAAAGTGGTGACTGACCACCACTCGCTCTGCTGGCTGGCAAATCTCAGAGATCCATCGGCCGTCTCGCACGGTGGAGTTTGCGTTTGCTGGAGTTTGATATTACAATTGTGTACAGGTCAGGGCGCAAACACGAAGACACCGACGCGCTTTCTCGAGCACCTGTGGGGAACGCTGTCAGGGGCTCCGAAGATGAAGATGCCTTTCTCGGAGCAGTTAGTGACTCCGAATTTATGTCAAAGCAGCGGGCAGACGATGAATTACGCCCAGTCATTGATTCCCTGGAAGGCCGCAACTCTCAGGTCCCTCAACACATTGCTCGCGAACTGTCCTCTTTTTGTCTAAGAAGAGGCATTCTTTACAAGAAAAACGCCCGTGGTAGCGACAAAGCCTTCCTACTCGTTGTTCCTACCGACATGCGTGATGAAATCCTCCTGGCGTGCCACGACGAGCCCACGTCAGGGCATTTGGGCTATTCGCGAACTCTCGCCCGAGTACGCCAACAGTATTACTGGCCGCGACTATCAACTAGTGTACATCGATATGTGAAAGGCTGCCGTGAGTGCCAGCGCCGCAAGACTCCGCCTGTGAGACCCGCGGGCCTGCTCCAGCCGATCGCACCACCACGGACACCGTTTGAACTCGTGGGAATGGACTTTCTCGGGCCCTTCCCTTTGTCGTCCTCTGGGAACAAATGGATTATAGTTGCGACAGATTATCTTACGCGTTATGCTGAAACAAAAGCGTTACCCCGTGGCACGGCCTCTGAAGTCGCGCAGTTCTTCGTGCACCAAATCGTCCTACGGCATGGTGCCCCGTCATGCGTGATTACGGACAGAGGGACGTCATTTACAGCACGAATGATGGAGGACATTTTTAAACTGAGCTGCACAAGTCATCGAAAAACAACGGCTTATCATCCGCAATCCAATGGACTGACAGAGAGGCTTAACAAGACCATAGCGGACATGATGTCAATGTACGTGGACGTACAACATAAAACCTGGGACGAGATTCTTCCATACATCACGTTTGCTTATAATACGGCAACGCAAGAAACACGTGATTTCCGCCTTTCCGACTTGTTTACGGACGCAACGTGCGAACCATGCTCGATGCTATGCTTCCGTGCGACCAAAGCAATGAACTTGCTCAAGATGCTGAGCAATACACTCAATACGCCGAGGAAGCTCGTCAGCTAGCTCGCATAAACACCAGTCACCAACAAGATGCAGACGCACGACGTTACAACCTCCGCCATCGAAATGTCACCTACCACCCTGGGGACAGAGTGTGGGTGTGGATCCCTGTCCGGCGACCAGGCTTATCCGAAAAACTCCTAAGCCGTTATTTTGGACCGTACAAGGTTCTTAGACGAATCATAGATCTTACCTACGAGGTATTTCCGGACGGCACAGCGTCTTCTCTTCGACAGCTTCGGCCCGAAACCGTGCATGTCGTTCGGCTGAAGCCCTACTTCACACAGTAGCCCTTGTGGTTTCACGTGCTACGACATGCCATGACATTGCGTTGCTGCTGCTGTTTGTGTTCTCCTGTGTTTTTATGCCCTTTCTTTTTGCGCTTGGCGGAAGCGTTGGCGAAACTTCCTCATTTGCGCAGCGAGTAGTGGCACTCTCCCTCTTTTAGTTCTCTATATCTGCGTGTGTATACCTTCATTTTTTTATTTACGAGCATCGAGTCGATGCTTTCAAAGGGGGGGGGGGACTATTGCCACATGGTTTGCTTGGGTGAGATCGAAGAGTGAAAGAAGACAAAGACGATCTCTCTCTGAGCCGCTGCTTGAGTAGTCGACTAAACGAGCCCATTTTTTATCAAGTTTGTCGAGAGTAACGTGACAATATAATCACAGTGGCCCAGTGGTCCCGGCGCGAACGGCCGCCCATTCGCGCTGGCAGTTGTACGGTGTTCAGCGGATATTTTATTTCTACTAATTACAGGAGCCGTCAAAGAAAGCAATTTCTCGAGGCTTGAGTCGGTAATCTATTCGTCCACATCATAAATGACGCCTATCGTAATTGCCTTGTCGTACGCGGAAAACGCGCGCACTGGAATGTTTCCCAACTGGACGATGACCTTCAGCGTGTCCAGCGTAGCCTTTGAAGTAACAGTTACCAACAAGATGTTCTTGCGGGTATTTATACGTATTTCCTCAACCTGGCAAGGTGCGATATGTTCGAAATACTCCGACAAGCTTTGCATATTTAGAGTGTTCAGGACATCTGTCGTCATTGTCGGCATGTACGAGATCGTGAAGGACCGCATGCTACTCGCCTTTTCGGTGCCTGTCGACCGGTCGGCGACGTTCTTCTGATCTTTTTCTTCAGACGGCGGCTTTGGACGGTCGCGTTGTGTGAAAGTAGTGTCCGAGTCCGAGTCGTTGCCTACTCACGTCAAGGTTGGATATGTGCGTCATCCGGTACGCCCTCATGTACGGAGGCCTCTACAGTGCCATAAATGTTTGAAATTCGGGCATGTCAGTGCAGTTTGTAAGGGTGTGGTAACTTGCAAACGATTTGGTGGACCTCATGACGATGGCAACTGCAACGCTGCCACAAATTGTCCTAACTGCACGGGCGCCCACGACGCAACCTCAAAGGACTGTCCTAAAATTAGGAACCAAATAACTATTATGAAGATGGTTACGGACCACTCCACGCACAGAGAAGCTGCAAGGGCTGTCCGGCGCAGTACACGTCGTTCGCGACACCAACGCAAACGAAGCAGCAGTGCTAACCAAGTTGAAGAACTGACATCAAATGTCCAGGCTTCACCTTCTCATCGTTTGCCTTTAACGGCCAGAAATGAAGATGTCAGTGCTTCCGTACCTTTACAGCCGACGAATGGACGAGCCAACCAGCCACCGGCCCATACTACTTCGGAGTGGCTTTCTTTACCATCAAGACACACGTGTACGCCTTCCACGCATAATGCTGCTAAATGCAGCAAGCAGGACGACAAGATGGATAATAATGACTCAAGGAGTATGCTTAGAAATTTGATGGGTCAATGCTCAAGATCCTTCGTGGTCTAAAAACTCCGGCAGCTGAAGCTGCTGTCCAGTTACTTGAGGTGCTGGAGCCACTTGTTGTTCTTCAGTAAGCGAACATGGCCTCGAGGTTTGAAGATCGCATGGGGCAGACGCTTGTTATGCAGTGGAATGCTCGTAGTTTACGTGGTCGTCTCTCTGATTTCAGACCGCGGGTATGAAATACCAGTTCCCCAGTCTATTGTCATAGCGAAGCAAACATGATTCTACATTTCGTTTGTCTGGGTACGTCCAGCTTTGGTCTCGCAGTGATCACCGTGCAAGCAAGGTGCTAGTTTGTGTACGCGTGATATGACGTACGTACGACATGACATTCTGTCGTATACAACGAATGATTACGTTTGCTTGATTATAAAGTATAAGAGGCGAACCGTTGTCGAGTCATCGGCGGATGCATTCATCCAAGTGCGAAGATGGGACTGCTCTCACCTTAGGTCTGTGCTTCAGGCTGCTCAGAGGCCCCCACATTGTCATTGGAGATTTCAATGCTCATAATCCCCTCTGGGGTTAGCACTGTAAAGAACAGCCGTGGCAGGGATTTGTGTGACTTCGTGTGTTAATTTTGGACTAAGGGTGCTGAACGACGGATTCGCCCACTTTCATTCGGGGTTACTTCTTACAGCAGCTGCCTCGACATTGCATTTGTGTCTAGGAGTCTCTGTCTTCTGCAGCTTGGTCCACGGATATAGAGACTCATGGTAGTGATCACTTGCCTACATATGTTCAGTTTAGGCGGTACTGCCGTTCAGCCACACACTGCGTTCATCAGACAGACTGGCGTCTCTTCAAGTCCTCTGTGAAAACCAGCTGTCAGTGCACTACTACACCATCCGAAGTAGAAGACATCATTTCTACGTCCCTGCGTGACACAACAAGACAAGTTACAATTTCGCTGCAAAGATCAGCTATCGACTTACAATACGAGGCCCTTCGTGCTATCCGTCGCCTCGCAGAACGGCGATACAGAAGAACAAGATCACCGTCAGAGCTCTCAGCCTGTCGACAAGCTCAACGACACGTTCTTCGGCATCTCAACAAGCTGGACAGGCAATGATGAAGGTCGTTCTGCGGTTCTTTGGACCCAAGACAGCCTCTCTCTAAAATCTGGCGGATAGTACGAAGTTTACAATCTTCTCCACAACAAATTTGGCCATTCCGTGCGGTGGCTCTACATCAGGGTCGGAGTGAATTAGAGGTAGGCAAGGACTACTGTAGCCTGTCGTTTCCACCGCTGACACTGTGCCCCAAACTCTTACCACCACTGTGCCCCCGTGCTTCGATGAACGCCTCGAAGTGCCTTTTACAAAGCAGGAACTGGACGCTGCCATTTCACTTTCCCGGCGCTCATCGGCACCCGGGCCGGACGGAACTACGTACGCTGCACTTCGCCATCTTGATACAAAAGCACGACAGATCCTTTTATCTTACTACAACACCTCCTGGGAGTCAGGAAATGTTCCATATAAGTGGAAGTGCAGCCGCATAATCACATTACTTAAACCGGGGTAGTACCCTAATGAGCTTTCATCTTACCAGCCGATCGCCTTAAGCAGCTGCGTTGACAAAGTCATGGAAAGAATGATATTTTTGAGATTAGAGTGGCTCTTAGAGAGCAATAATCGCTTTTCTGTGTTCATGAATGGCTTTAGGAGAGGCCGATCAACCATTGACATGGTCATCAACTTGGTCTCCGATGTTGAACAGGAAAGATGTCGAGGCAGATTAGAGGCTGCTGTTTTTCTTGACATTAAAGGCGCATACGACAATGTGTTACATTATGCCATCCTTGATGCGCTTGAGGATCTAGAAATTGGTGGACGACTATATGCGTGAATCGTGAGCTCAGTTAGCGACCGTACCGTGTATATGTCAACAAGCGATGCAGATACAGACCATTATAACATTCACCATGGTGTTCCCCAAGGGAGTGTTCTCAGTCCGACACTTTTTAACATCACCTTGATTGGACTTGCTACTGAACTTCCTGACACGGTGAAGGTGAACACATATGCGGACGACATCTGCATCTGGGCTTCAGGAGCTACGCACCCCCAACTGCGTGCTCGACTACAACGTGCAGTGACCATCACAGCAAGGTACCTACGTCGCCAGGGTCTCACGCTGTCCAACTGAAAAAGGCGCAGTGCTTGCATTTACACGGAAAACAAATGACAAGATACCCACTAACTGTGAATAAAACGAGAAATTCGTGCTGTTGTGCACACACAAATTCCTGGTGTTATCCTCGACCGGAATCTATCGTGGTCAAAACACGTCACAGCCTTGAAGTCAAAGGTCAAGAGTTTGTCCACGTTCTTCCGGTTCATGACCGGAGCAAGATGTGGCCCTTCGGAGGCAGCTCTCCTGACTGTACCAATCTTTATTCGTAGGGTATTTACGATACAGCATGCCTCTGCTTTCAAGCATGAAACCCAGTTGTGCGAGCACGCTAGAAAGCATCCAAGCTCAAGGGTTGCGACATGTTCGGGCTTACCTCAATGCACATCACCAAGGGAAACTCTTTGCCGAAGCTCGGCTTGTCAATCAAAGTATATGTGCTCTGCGAGCCTCTTCGAGTCCACCTTCGCTGTTTGACCCGACACAGGCAAATCCCCTATCAGCGCTCCCTGCCAGCCACCGAGACTGCAGTATTCAAGAGCTATATCGTGGCTCGAGAACATCATTCCCCCAAGATTTTCTCCCCCACGTGTTCCTGAGACACCTCCGTGGCTCCTGCCTAGACCACTTGTCATACTTCAGATTCCTGGGATTATGAAGAAGTCTCTTGTTTCATCGGTCGGCCTAAAGCAACTTACCTGCAGCACACTTTATACTGTGCACGACGTGTGGCCACCGTATATACTGATGGTTCTACCACGTCGCGCGTACCTCCGCCGCAGTCTTGTCATCCCGGAGATGAAGATAGCTCGAACGTTTCAAGATAGATCACAAGACCACATCAACAGCCGCGGAACTTGTTGCTATTCGGGAGGCAATACGTTTCAGCGACAGAACCCGCTCGTAAATGGACGATACTGTGTGATGCCAAAGCTGCTCTTCAAACCATCGATGGCTCCATGAGACAAGGTCCATATCATACTTTATCGATTGAATTAGCAGAGCTTTTTAGCATTGCTACAAAAAATGGACATGTGTAACATTTCAATGGAAACCTGCTCATTGTAGCACATAGGGCAATGAAGTGGCGGACGCTGAAGCTAAGAGAGCTTTAAATAGTGCCGCGGAAGTGTGCATCACATTTTCTCGACAAGACACTAACATGCTACTTCGACGGGTAATGCGCAACTCCATATTAGAGCACTGCCGGAAACCAGAACACCAGCACAAGCGGCTGCACAAACAGGACCCCGAAATGAAGTTCCGTATGCCTAACAAGTTAAAGCGAAGCATCTCATGCGTTATCCACCGCATTCGCCTCGGTGTGGCTTGCACGAGACCGTTACACCACTTGATTGGCTGTAATGACACAGGTCCAATGTGGTCACTGTCGGTTGCCAGAAACGCTCGAACATATATTTTGCGACTGTCCAGCATATGCAAGTGAACGTCAGCAACTGATATTTTAGATTGGCCGATATATTAGTCGACCATTAACCGATGAGGTTGTGTTAGGTCCTTGGCCTGACGCCAGCAGCACACATGTGGTTATACGAGCCGTCATCGCTTTCTTAGAAGCCACTGGACTGGATGCACGTCTGTAGAGTTACCCAGCCTAATAAGGACATATCATCTCTCTACATTACCATCGTCATTCGTCACTCTTTCACTCCCCAGTCACCCTTCCCCAGTGTAGAGTAGCAGGCCAGAGCAAACTATAACTCAGGCCGACCTCTCTACCTTTCTGTAAATGAAATCTCTCTCTCTCTCTCTTATTTCTACTATTCATTTATTTCAAAATACCCCTAAGGGCCCTAGACGAGGGTATTACATAGGGGGACACTTAACGACAAAATTGAGAAATAACGGAGTGAAAGTAATGGTAAAAAAGTTAAATTCTGACAATTGGCTGGTGCACATTCGGCAAGAATACAACAATAACAAAAACAACGGAAAAGAAATAAGTGCAAAATACAACTTAGTTGAAATGAGGAACTGAAGTGACTAGACATAAGTTGTAAAAAAAAAAAAGATTGCCCGCAGCTTCCCTCGGGGGAACACTGAGGAGGATGCGGAGCATATAATTGGTTAATGGGGTGTTAAAGTGCGACTTACTTGGGTCGATGGCTAAATTAGTTAACGTGGTTGTGAAATGGGGTGTTAAATTGCGACTTACTTGGGTCGATGGCTAAATTGGTTAACGTGGTTGTAGGAGGGGGTGTTAAATGAGTGAACACGTACACACGTATGCGAAAGGGCGGCGCTGGTGGAAGGGACGTCGATCATTGTGTTTGTGGATTCGTTGGAATTC